CACTATTTGCATGCTTGTTATCTGACACATGAGTTCCTTGCAGGTTTAACAGTCCTTAATTGGGACTCATTACAGGGCCTACTTACATCACTCCATGCATAGCATAACATCATACCATTGCATACATCCTGCATAAGGACTAACCCATTTCAAAGATCTCAAGGGCTTGTGATGCAGGTCATGATGAATCAAATGTCCAGCAAGGGGCAAATAGGATTTATTTTCCTCTAGCCAAGGTTGTCAGGGGCTATGACCCACTTGATATGGTGAGCTTTGACTCTTGAAGAAGGTTCCCCTAGCCAAGGTTGTTTGAAAAGCAAACACTTTTGAAAACACAATGAGCAAGTATCTAAGAGCCCATGGATAACCATGGATAGAAAGGGTGCTAACACCTTCCCTTTCTATAAATCTACCTCCTGAACCGAGAAACTATCTCATAAGGAATTTTGCTGTGCTTTTGTCCTGTCCATGTTGGAGAAAATAAAAGACGGTGGCGACTCTTGCTTCCGCGACATTTCGCGATCCAGCGTTAAACAGTCAGTTCCAGATCCACCGATCACACTAAAGAATTCACCTCTCCAGCAGATCATCAAATTTTCTCTTCAACGGGGTTTATTTCTCCAACAAAATGCAAATTCTCCAGTTCGAGTTTACCTCTCAGACTATTACAAAACAAGAGACCATAACTCCTAATCCCCGGCAAAGTCATTATAACCCACAACGTAGTCGTTACTATCCCTAAAAATCTCTATGTAGCCTGGAATCCGACCAGATAATAGTTGACTCCTTTCTCTTCAAAGCAAGTTATTACGAATCCTAGACTCCTTTCCCTAAGAACAAATTACTGTAAAGACTGGACCCGACCAGAAACAATTTAAGTTGCTGAAACCTGGACCCGACCAGATAACAGTAAATCTAAATTTTAAGTTACTAAAGATAGGACCCGACCAAATACTAGTTCAACTTCATCCCTTTCAAAGCAAGTTACTGCGAAGCCTAGAATCCGACCAGATAACAGTTTAACTTAAATTTTCTATAAAGCCTGGAATTCGACCAGATAACAGAATAATTTCAGTAAGTTTTTGCAAAGCTTGGAATCCGACTAGATAGCAATTAACTTCATCCTTTCATCTAAGTTACTATGAAGCATGGACCCGACCAGATAACAGTTAACCTCAAGTTCAAATTGTTGAAACCTGGACCCGATCAGATACCAGTTAACCTCAAGATCAAATTATTGAAGCCTGGACCCAACCAGATAACAGTGAATCTCAATTTCAAGTTACTGAAGCCTGGACCCGACCAGATAGCAGCTTAACTCCTACAAATCACTAGTTAAACTCCTCTTCTCTAGTAGAGTTCGCCACTATCCCCAGTGAGTTACTATAAAGCCTAGATTCTGACCAGATAACAGTTATCTTTATTATCCCTAGCAAGTTGCTGCTAAGCCAGGATTTCGACCATATAATAGCTAACTTTCAAATCCATAGTAGAGCAATGGACAACCAAAACTCCTAAACTCAAGTTCCCAAGCATAAATCAACACACACCGCAGAGATTTCTCAAGCAAAATCAATGTCCCCCAGCGGAGTTTTACTCAAACAACAAAACAGGAATCCCTGGCAGAAACATCCTAAACAAAGTCTGAAGACACACATATTCTTCAACCCCAATAGCATTCCGGGATTTAAAGGCTCCCCAGCATTTGTAAAGGATTTATTTTCCCAGACAAAGATACATTTCAATGATATTTCACATTCATACATCATATTACATATATGATAAATGCATACAGTATAATCTCATTTATTTTTGAGAACATCATCAAGCCATGTATACATGCAATTAACCCTCTTCCTAACAGGAAAAGTCAATCAATAAGACAAAAGACCTCTTCTGGTGTAAATTTATTCTCTTTCTATTATCGACGGGAAAATACCACCAACATTTCAAAAATAGGTTATAGATTAATTCCTGAAACAAGCCAGGGCAACTATCTCTATGACCAACAAAAAGTGGGTTCTGGATTAATACTTGAAACAAGACAGGATAACTATATATGAACAATTGATTGTAGATTAATACCTGAAACAAGACAGGACAACTATCTACATGAGCAGATTGAAGATTAACTCCTGAAATAAGACGAGGAAACTATCTTTCTTTCCCTTTGGTAAAATAAAGATCAATTCCCGAAATAGGACAGGACGACTATCTTTATTACCAATGGTATGAACTCCCTAAATAGGACAGGTTACCAACAAACTGATTATAGATCAATTCCTAAAACATGACGGGGGGACTATCTACATGACAAACGCTTCCTTCAAGACTTTTGTTAGTTTAGTTTAAATCGACCAATTATTTATCTTGATTCTGTTCCGGTAGACATTTTCACTGGTTTAGTCAAATCGACCCTAAGATTTTTCTGATTCTTATCCGGACAAAAACAAATACAGACATCTGTTATTTCCATATAAATTGATCAAAGGTTCACCCTGATATTTCTTCCAATCTCTATCAAGAATCCTTTGGATAGAATCTATAAGCCCATCTTCGACGATTCTCAACCACTTTTGGATGGCATCTATAAGCCCATCTCCAACAATATTCTATCACTCTCCAAATGGAATCTATTAGCCCATTCCCGACACAATAAATCCAACGTGTTACTTCTCTCACAAGCGAGTGCAAATTTCTGGGCACTCTAGTGTTCAATCATTTTCCACCTTCGAGTCACGAATGGCAAACATACCAATCTAAATCTTCAGGTTTAAGAAGATTGAACAGGGGCAGCTATTGTACCCCAAAATTTTCCCTCACAATTTTTCATTCAAGATGTTCTCATAGGGTTTCTAAAATACACGAAATGGCTTAGGGTTCGATCAGACAGATTCTACTCCTAGGCATTGAGTCAGCAGCAAGGGTTCATTATTTCTCAAGCAAAATTGAGTTTCCAAGGTTTTAAATGGTCTTCATGGTTCTTCATGTATTCTCAAGGGTGTTTGTGTCAGTTTCAAGCCCCGCATCGCAATTTTGCTCAGTCAATGGTTCAGATGACTGAAAATGAACTACATTGACCCAAAAGCCGACCCTTTTCAAGATCAAGTTCAAACGATTATAAATCCTCCATTATTTGATATCTTTGAGTGGTTCTTTTTGCATATGAATCTCCTTGACGTCATCTTCAAATTCTCTCTACAAGTCAAGAGCTGATTACGTGCGAAAGATCATTAGAAATTCGAATACTTTAGAGGCCATTTTCTGGATCTTGGCCTAATCTCAAATAATTGTTGCCTAACTTCCAAGAATCACAATTTCCTCAATTTTCAAGATCTTGAGACGATTATTTTTTCACATTGTTATAGGCGACGTCATCAACAAGTTCTCTTCAAGAATAAAAGGAAAAATTTGTTTAGAAGACCTTGAAAGTTATCAATTTGTCATAGGCCATTTTCTTGATTTAGAATATTTAAACTTCTAATTTCAACACCAGGCATAATTGTTTCTTCAAGGCTATGATTCACATGTTAATATCGTTCATGGTACAAGATGTCGAGTTCGATAATTCTTTGAATGTTTGTTGCTTATTCAAACTACTTATGTCTGAGCATTTGGCAATTATTAGAAAGGTGAATTTCATGGTATGACTGAATTTAGTCCATCTCGAAAGAGGAATCTATCATTAACTTTTTGGAGTTTTTGTCCTTTAGAATTCAAAGATTAAAATCGAATGGGCAAGGCTTAGTTTCCTTTATTCATCAAATTTCACTTAAGACATTCATCATCATTCAAGACATCAAGTTCTTATTCCATTCAAGAATTGGACTCAAATTTCAAGATACAAGGTCATCAATCAAGTATTGGTTTGTGTTGGATTCTTTATTCTATGTGCTTTGATTCAAAGATTTTAGGTATTTTATTTGGATATCAAGGTGATGCGAGGGACTTATGGCATGTATTTGACCAAGAATTTTGGCCATGGAACATGGTTTTAAGCTTTATTCTTCAAGTTTTCACCTCAAAGTTTAATTCCAAAATCAAGAAATCATTTCATATTCCTTACCCATACCTCATTTTGATCTCTTTCATATTTCACTCAAAGCTCAACTTGTTTCTTCAAGTATACAAGAAAGTTAAATTACAAGTTTACAAGTTCATAAAATATCGCAAAGATCTCATGCTTTCAAATACATGGCTTATCCAAAAGTTCATTTTACAAATATGCTTCAAATTCTTAAAGTTTCCTAAGTTTAAGTACTAAATTTTTACGATACAAAGAAGAACTCCAAATCTAAGTCCTAAGTTTGCAAATGAGATTTTATCTCCTTCTTTTGCAAGATTCCCTCTAAATTCCACCTAGTCTTTTGCCATCATTTAAGTTTCTCTTCTTCTACATTGCCTCACCATCTTCAATCCATTATTTGCTCATGAAACAAAAAACAAGAATATGTTAGCAAGAAACATAAACAAGAAATTTCTAAGTTATTATCATCAGGGTTTGCATTGGGAATCAGCAAAAAAGAGAGGGTGTCTTAATCACTTTCAAGCAACCCAGCCTCATAACAAAATCACAATTTAATCATGGGCCTATGCACAATTCAAAACAAAAGCATCATGAATTAAGGATTTAAGCCCAACAAAAGCCTCAAAAATATTGTCCTATCATTGGCCCAAAGAAATATCTTCATTGCAAATCACAAAATATATATTTTTTGGCTCACAAAGAAAATGTTGTCAAAAAAGAAACCAAGCCTGCATTGCTGTAAAAAGTGACAAACACAAGAAAACAAATATTGTAAAAAAACAGATTGCATTGCTGCCCTGCATTGCTGTCCAAATCTATACCAAAAATAGTCCAAAAATCTGTCAAAAGCAACTGTTATATACAACCAAAAATTGCACACAAACAGGCCAAGTCAAAACTACAACAAAAAGGAGCAAAGCAGCATAACAAATTTGTTCAAAATCTAGATCCTTTTCCCCTCAAAAGTTTGTTTTCAGATGAATATAAGGGAAACAGTAACATAACAAAAGTGTAGATCGATTTGGTCCATCAAAAAAAAGAAAGAGCAAAACAATTTTCTTTTACAACCAGCATCAACATCATCCAATAACAAGTTCATCATTTTTTCCATCATTGTATACACAAAACCAAATAACAACATCCAAACCTTAGAAAAAATTCTCATCATCTTCCTAAAAACGACATACCCTTCAGAAACAAAGAAAACAGAAAATACAGGAAAAAAACAAAAACCAACTTCCTTGTCAAACGAAAAAGCCTTGAAGTCACCAACAGCAAAATGATTTTCGTTATTGCTCTGCATTCATCATAAGTATCAAATCTGTCTGCATGCACTATTTTTTGTTATAATCAAATAAAATAAAAATATATAATGCAGTAAAAATCGTTTAACACAGAGAAGAAAAAAAAACCTTACCTCATCTCCTTCATTCTCTCTCCCTGGGCCCTCCATCACCATCCAACACCAAAACAACCGTCCGTAATCACCAACCGCAACCAGCACCTTCACTAATCCAACAACAACATCTGAAACCGAGGAAGCTAACGGAGGCAGAGATAGAAAGGTCATTGTTGTTATGGATGAGAGGTCAGAGAGAGAGAGAGGGAGGAACCGTCGCTGTTGCGAAATCAAGAGGAGAGAGGGTTTTTGTTTACAATGAAGCATGAGGAAAGAGGAAGATGAAGTTTGATTTAGGGAGAGAGTTTTTATTTCTTTTCAATATTTTTACGGTACAACAAAAAGAACAAGTCCCAATAACTAATAATAATTAATTTTTTCCTTCCCTTTCCCAACAACACACTAGCGGCGTCGTTCCATGTTGTATTAGGGTTTTAAGTTTTTTTCTTTTTTTTCTTTTCTTTGTTCAAACTCCCACTGGGTCAGCCCATTGGGTTGTTGGCCCAATCCACCCTCATATTCACCTTTATGTATTAATAAAATCTTAATGATAATGACTAAAACGGATGGCGCGGTGGTTAAGGTGTGTTGGTTTGGAGGAAAGGTCCCGGGTTCGAGACCCCCGAAGACATTTTCCTCTTTTCTTAATTCTAGTTTCCTCTTTTTGGAAATAAAAAACTTCTTGGGCTCTAATCTCTAAAGCCCATTCATTAAAAAAAAAACAGCATCACATCCTAGTTTTCTATTTGCAATTTCTTTATTTTTTTTAGGTTAATTTAGATTTTCTTTAATAACTTGATAGATCTTAGTGTAGATTTAAATTAGCGTATTTTTTATAGATAAGTTTAGATTTTATTTAATATCTTAGAATTTTTCAAGTTAGTTTAGAATTTTTATATTAGTTTAGATTTATTTTTGTTAATCTTTAGTTTTAACTTTAAAACTCAATTAAATAAAAGATATATAATTTCAAAATTAGTTAATTTAAGACTTTGTAAATAATTTTGTCAACATTTTTTTATATAGTTTAATAAACTTTCTATTAAAATATTTAGTTTATACATAATAAAATTCAAATAAGAATAATAGAATAGATTCCTTATTTTCTTTTCAAATTTCTCACAATAAAAATACCAAGAGATTTATTTCAATACTTTGTCAATTAATTTTTACTTCATATGTTATTGAAGTTTTAATTAATTGTTCAATTCGATTTGGTTGTATTGATTGCCTATTTGGACTTTTAATCACATTGATCCATCCCCATTTGTAAATTTGTACCTCCATTCCCGAAAGCTTTGTAATAGCGTAGAATTTTAATTTTTGCAATTTACTGTTTTTCTTTATATTGTATAGTAATTAGGCGTGTATGGTAAGATTTAAAATCAACCGCTAGACAACCCTAATCAAAGATAAAATTAACTTGAATCGAACACACATTTCACACGCGCACCTCTAGGGTAACCTCGCTTGTTGCCTCAAAAAAATAAAGTCTTGTCCCTCGAATATGGGAAGCTTTAGCAAAGACCCTTCGATAAAAAAGATTGCAGTCCCTTGATGTTGCCTTCGGTAAAATCATCTAGTTCCTTACAAAAATTGATAAAGCGTCTCACAAATTGCCTTTTCTGATTGTACGATTAACCCGCGCTTGTCCCTTCACATCCAATGATGGAGCTTCTTACCAAATCAATAGTAAGATAGAAACATCTAAAGGAGTAAGAAAAGAACAAAGACCTTTTGAGTAGGTAGGACGCTCGTAGTTTCTTTCTCACTAATTAAAACCATTTTGACACTTACACTTTCAAAACATCTTTCAAAAAACAATCATTTCTTTGAACTATTTTCAAAACCAACACTTTATATACATTCTTATAGAGACGAGAATCATTACAAAGTTTGCTGAAACAAAGGCGTTTTCAAAATATTTTCAGACTTGCACCCATCATAAAACACATTTTAAAACAAAGCATTTTCAAGTGATCTAACAAGCAACTAAGAGTCCGTAGATAACTACGGATGAAAAGGGTGCTAACGCCTACCCTTTTCATGACCTACCCCCCCCCCCCCCCCCCCGAACTCAAAAAAAAATTCTCAAAGGTCTTTCATGTTCTTTTCACCCTTTCCTTATTGGATAAAAGAAAAGTCGGTGGCGACTCTTGCTATCCGCAACAATTGCAATCAAACGCAAAACACCCAAGTCAGTTCTCTCGCCATATTACAGAATTAGCGACTCTGCTAGGGAACATGTTTTTAAAAGTGGGGTTACCTTAGAGACTAGATCATATTTAATTGCTTTTATTGTTTGATTTGTTTGCTTTACATTTTGGGTCTTGTTTAGGCTTGTTTTTATCCTCTACCCAGATCGAAGAACACCATTAGGTAAGTAGCAATAGATTGTGGAAATTATGCGGGGTATACCGACATGGTTGAAGCGATGGCTATGTTAGTGTGACACATTTGTTGGTACCGGTAGCCCTTGAGTTTAGTCAAGGAGAATACAGGGTCGTTGTGTGGTGGCATGAAGCACTAACTGACCTTAGAACCTTTAATTGAATAACTTGGCCATTAGGAAGTAGTGAGATAGCCAACTTTGGTGCAGTCCGAAGTTTGTTGATACTCGATACTACACTCATTGAGATCGGACTTTTGGGATATTTTGGTCTCCAATAAAGAGGCTTACGCTGAAACAATTCCCGATAAAGAAAGATCAGTGATATTGAGATTCCCTAGAACTCGATTACTTTCTAGGACATGTTGAACCAACTAAACTTCAAAAGGGTACTTACCAATGAAACCTCATGCAAGCCTAAACCTAAGGACTTGTTTGCTTTGTGTGTATATGTTTACTCGTACATAACATCATGACATCATACCATAACATTTTTCACTAACCATTTCAAGGACCTGGAGATTTATTTTTGTCTTGTTTTGTAAGACATGAATTCCACTCGCAGGAATACTATCCAAGTCAACCTCGTAAGAGTGCCTCCTCAACTAAAAGAATTAGCATCAAGGATTTCTGAGAATTCTCTGTTCACAAGGAGACATGGTCGACTTATCAATCTGGTTACCTTAAGCCTTGATGAAGACATAATAAAGGTGCTCTTTTAGTTCTTTGACCCTTTACACCATTGCTTTACATTTCCTGATTACCAATTAGTGCCTACCATGGAGGAGTTTTCTCAGTTATTGGGAGTGCCCATTCTTAATCAATTACCCTTCAACGGTATTGAAAGATACCCTAAACCTGGGGAGATTCCCCGAGCTCTACATTTACAACGGTCTGACGTTGTGGCAAATTGGGAAACAAGAAGTGGTGTCAAAGGGTTTCTAGCCAAGTTTTGGTTTGAGAAGGCTCAATATTTTTGGGATATTCTGGATTTACAAGCCTTTGAAGAAGTGTCAGCCCTTCTAATCTATAAGATGGTTCTATTTCCTAATCTGGACCAACTCATAGATGTGAATGCGGTCAAAGTTTTTCTGTCTCGTAACCTGGTGCCTACCTTACTTGGAGACATCTTGCACTCTCTTCACACTCACACCATGAAGAGAAGGGGGACCCTTATGTGTTGCACTCCTCTGTTGGCTAGACGGTTTATTTCGCACCTACCTCGATCTGTTTTGAAGAATGAGAAAGGAATGAGATGGTCTAATAGGTTAATGTCCCTTACGCATTCAGATATTTATTGGAGTCCTCGATCTTTGAAGGATGTTACCATCATTGATTGTTGTGGGGAAATGTCCCTCTCCTTGGAATTAGGGGAGAAATCACCTATAACCCTTGTTTGGCGTTGCGACAGTTTTGGTATGCTAGGAGGGATGGTACTCATGATGCACTTGTCCAAGGAATTGCATTCGACTATGAGAACGATGTCCAAGGTTATCGTCAAAGATTCATACGAGCTTAGGACATGGTAAAAAATGTTGATAGAAAGACATTGGGGCATAAGAACTCCATTATTTTAGAGCCTTATCTCAAGTGGGTGCGAGCTCGCGCTCAAAATCTCATGATTCCTTATGAGGCCATTCTACCTATCATCATGGAACCTATTACTGAGGGAGATGTTCCTTACACTATTCTCCATCCTGACATTCCGACTACTCTCGAGAAGTTGCAAAGATCTTAGATTCAACTTAAAGGGGAGCGAGACACCTTTGAAACCCAGTTCTACGCAAGTGAGAAAAAGGTTATGGAGCTCACAAGACAACTCCATGAAGAGCATAGTTTTAATGCCTATATTTCACCAAAGAGGATGCGCTCGTGGGAAGCTTGATTCTTTTTATTTTAGGAGTTTATTTTGTATTATCTTTGTTTCTTCCATTGTAAGCCCAAGGGGCATTTTTGTAACTGTTTGAACTTATTAATGAAATTAATGTTTGTTCTCTCTTTGTCTAAGCAAATTTAAATTTTAAAATTCCTTGAAATCATTTGCATGCGCACTTTCATGCATCATAACATAAACAAGTTTTCCACAACAGGTTTCCTTATCTTTCTACTACTTATTTCAGTAAGATGGATATCGAACAAACAATCAAGGACTTGGAAGCGCAGAATTCCCAGTTCCAAGAGACCTTTCCGACCCTGGCTAAGGGGCAACAAGAGCTGATACTATGCTAGTAGCCAAGAAGAAAACCAAAAATAAGGCCTTCATCAACATGGGTAAGAGATTCAAAGGTTTGGTTCGTCAGGTATATATAATCGAAGAGTCGTCTGAGGAGGACGAAAATCAAGACAAAGAGGAAAGGAACACCCGTGTTAAGGGTGCCAATAATCAAGCTTCCGAAGACAAAGATTACTTTGATGAGAAATATCCTCCGGTTGAGGATAAATACAAGCATTTGGAGGATAGACTAAAGGCTGTTGAAATTCAAGTCGTTCCTGGTTTGGATTTTGGTGAGTTGGG